CTCCATTTCCTGTTGTCTGTTGGTCACCTTTCTTCGGGCTCCGGGAACGGTCCCGAGAACTACTGTTGGAATGAGCTTTTCCTTTGCCTTTCTTCGGAAAAGCGTTTTCATTGCCAAGGGACTTTTCAGCCTTAGCCTTAGTTTCCTTGGTGGAAGCCAAAAAATCTTCAAGAGTGACATTCCCAAATGTTCTTTTAGGAGCCTGCACCCAGGAAGAAGTGGCCTTATTGTTTTTTGGGGGGGCAGTGAGAACATTGAGGGTCCAAGGAGTATCATCCTCAACAGAATAAATCCAACTGCCATCGTCAGACTTATCACTAGGAGGAGTGGACCGGATTCTCCAGCAAGCCTCATTGCCTTTTCTTTTCCGGGATAAAACCATCGGGTCAGCCCAACCAAGGCTCATGATCAGAGAGACAACCTCAGTGTGGTCCCAACCAAGGGGGATCCCATGAAAATCATAAACTCGTGGTCGCTGAGTGTCCTTGTCAGTGGTCTGCCAAACAAAACCAATGTCAGCCCCTCCTCCCGAGCGAAGGATCAAATGCTGTTTCCTGCTTTGACCCAGAGCCAGGCATCGCCGGTAATAAGTTTCGGGGTTTTCATCCGTTTGTTTGGTAACCCAGAAAACTTTCGGCACCGTCTCGTTGGGGTCTTTGGGAAGCTTAGAGCAAAAAATGCCCTGTTTGCCACTCATGGTAAGGAGTTTTTCCGCTGATTTATCATTCAGCCTCAAGTGACCAACCAGCTGGCGGCGGCTCCCGACTTTTTGCTGACTCCAAGAACCTCCTGTCAGCTGAGATGCCTGAAGTTCAGTTTGCGTAGCAATGTCAGCAATCACCTGAACTGGTGAGTCAGCACTTCCCAAAAAAACTTTTCGATAACTTTCCGGTGCCATAATACGCACCGTGCTCTTGGCAACGACAGGAATCTTTTCTTTGGGGACCTGCGTGGTCGTTTTGATCCACGGACATTTCTGGTGGTCCCCGAACCGTAAAAGAGAGACACTTTCAACTTGAGGTCCCAACTTTCCCCGTGTGACCGTTTTTTGCGTCTTCAACCCTTCCTCAGTGACACTGGCAGCAGGTCCAGTCAGGAGAATTGAAACAGAGCCTGGGTTGGCCAGCGCCTTCCACAGCGTCCTGAATTCATGATATTCATCATGTGTGCGAAGTTCAACCATATTGTACTCACTTTGTTGACCCTCTTTCAGAAGGTGCATGGCTTCGAAAAATTAACAAGAGAAGGTTTGATGGACCACTCACAGTCTCTCAATCCCGTAGCAGCAGCATGACATCTAGGGCCAGACTGACCATTTGCTGTCCCTTTTCCTTTTCCATTTTTTGGACTCTTCAAAGTTGAGCCAACAATCTGCTGAGTATTGCGACCGCCCTGAAGGTGTCCTAAAACCGAGGTCGCGACTTGGACATCCGAGTACCCCTGGTTGAGGCATTGTTTCAAAACGGTGATCAACTGTCTCGCCAATGACATTTCATCACCGTTGTCTTTGTCTTCCGGTTTAGGCTCCGAAACTGTTTGGGCATTCTGGTTCTCAGAAAAGGACATCCTTCCTTTCCCTTTCGATTTCGAGGGTTTACCCTTCCCAGGAGATTTTCCGGGCGTTTGAAGGGTTTTGGGATCCCCACCAGGACTACCTTTATTACCAGAGACAGTAGTTGGACCCTGATTGTTCAGCTTTTTTCCGGCACCTTTGGTTCTTTTGGGACTGCTCTCTTCGGCTTTTTCAATCCAGTCCTGCAGAAACTCTCCCAAAGTGTCCGCCAGGGACTGACCTTGTTTTCGTTTTCGACTGGTGGTAGCACTACCACCAGCCCCTCCATCCAACAAATTAGTTTTGCAGATCCATTCAAGGTATTGCTGGGAATGCTGGTGGTCAGCGCCATTGGTCTCAGCAGAGTTCCAACATCTGTTCAAAGTTAAAATTCTTTGATTGTGGGCGCCCCTTTTTTGCAGCAACATGTGTTTGGCAAGAAGCTGATACCCTCTGAGTCTCAGCACATTCATTTGAAAGGTGCCCCCGCAGTGTCTACGGACACCTGTGACACGTCTCTGACTAACCTTTCTGGCTTCAATTGCAAATCGCTGTTTACGTTTCAAAACAGCATCACTCTGAAGTGTTGCAAAAGCAGTTGGTCGTTTGTGCTGTTCCGGTGCAACCGGACTGCAAAGCGCAATTATCCCCAAAGAAATAAACCAGCCAAGGTTAATAATGGGTTCATTAAATTCCCACGGCATATAGTGCGGACAAAGAAACCAGACCAGGGAGATCAGGACAGCGACAAGATCTCTCAAAGAAAGGGAGAAGTCCGTAGATAACCGGGGATGAGTGGACACCGAACTGACCGAGAGAAGGGAGCCCACAAGACCGAGCAGCAGGAGCCAAGACAAACCAACCAAAGGATTGGAGTGGTCCCAAGGCCAAGAGTGAGGGAAGAGCCACCACCACCCACCCAGAAGGCCAACAGCACACCATTCGCAAAGCACCGCACGAGCCGGCAGGAGACGCCACCCCCATCGCCAGAACGAACGGAGCCAAGAAAGCAAAAGACAGGGCCCCAAGAATCCCAACGCAAAGAACCAAGGGGACAAGCCGCACCACGCTGACCGCAAAAGAAAGAAACCCAGAAGGCCAGGACAAAGGCCAAAGGAGACAGCGAGGACATGACCAAAGGTGGTGGGCCAAACAATAGTACGGGGGTTGGAGAGCATATCGAGAAATACACCGTTCAAACCCAGTGAGCCAAGCCACACAAGCTGCAAACAGGTGTCATGTGTGGTCCAAGGCAATTGCAATTTGGCAAATGCAGCCAAAGTTTGAAAAACAACGTGCTCCAGACAGAACCTAAAGTCCTGAAGTTGCACTTCGATCAGTGACAACGAATCTGCAGCTAAATCACAAAAGGTAGCGAGCTCGGCGGCCGCGGCAGCCATCAGCAGCCTCAAAGACTCGGCAGCCAATGCCGCAAGCTCAGCTACCGCAGTAACAGTCAGCAGCCTCCGAGATTCTGTAGCAAAAACCGCGAGCTCTGCCCTCACGGCTGCGGTCAGCAGCTTCGAAGACTCAGCAGAAAGTTCCGCAAATTCAGCAGCCGTCAGAATCAGAGTAAAGCCATCAAAGCTCTGCGAATTCTGTAAAGCTGCATCACTGCGTTCATCAGCAGCAGGCCATGGCAACAGCTCAGTACCGTTTCCCATGGGAGCTCCAAATAGGAGACTGTGTCGCGTCTGGACAAGCGAAGATTGACCGATGACCGAGTCGAAAGAACCGAAAACAGGGGCATCGGCAGTAGCAGAAACCGGGGACAGCAACAGCGCAGCGATCAGCCAGCGCAGACTGTGACCAGGCCGTCCCAAGCCTTTCCTGGGCTCTTGGATCTTCACGATCCTGTTGTTGGGCTTTGCCTCTTGAAGGCCCGTCACGTGCATTGTATTGAATTCATCCTTTTTTTGGTTTTCAATTTTCTCTTTTGTATTTCTTTTTGGGCTTTTCTGATTTTTATTTTGATTTCTTGCATCATCAGGCAGTGGGAAGAGCCCACCGCAAATTAAACTTGAAACTGGCAGTGGGAAAGGCCCACCACTAAATAGACATCGTACTACTTCGCACCTCATCAGTCTCAGTGCTGACAAGGCCCGCGGCGACCACGAGGAGGTGTAGCTGTCGCCACAATGACACGGATCAGAAGAAGAAGAAGAAGGTCTTTGAACAGAAGCCGCGCCGGAGACTCACGACCGCTGCATGAAAGGCGCTCACGCGCCAAGGTGAAGGCTATTCAGCAGCCTCGGCTGCAGCGCCAGCCGCAGAGCCAGCCGCAGAGTTTGCCGCAGCAGCAGCATGACGGGTGTTCCAAATAGCAGCAGCAGCCTGAGTGATCCAGTTCACCTGTTCAGGTGAGGCTCCCCATCCAAACCTGGCTTTAACAGGAGAATCAGGGAAGGGAAGTTTAACCGGGCGGTTGTCACACAACCACACCACGTGATTCCAGTGTCCAAGATTCTCGCACCACGGACAGTTAATAGGGACCTCATCTCTGTGCTGCATAGCAGCTGGGGAAAGCATCGCTCCCGTGCACACAGCACGAAAAGTGTGATCAATCGCGGACTGTCTCACTTTCTTAAAGTCAATATCAACAAACTGCTGAAGAGAAAGCGGGCGCACTTCGTCGCACTCATGGCGACCACAATTCAGGAATTTCTGCCAAAGGTGCCAACGCCACCCTTGGCGAGCAGCATGCTGAGCATTCTTAATCGGCATTCTTTGAAGATCGACCTTAAAAGATACATGGTCAGAAATCCAGGTCCAAGGCCGTGCGGCCGAAAACCCATGCAAACTGAACCATTTGTGCAGAGTGGCCACTGGACTGCCGCCAGTGGATCGATCTGCCCATCGGACACACCGTCTTTGCAAAAGACGAGCAACAACTCTGATGAGGTTAGAAGCAACCAACATGTCAAGATGGCAATTCCCCCCAAAAATAATGGCCCGGAGATATTTGTTAGCCTGTTGGTGAACCCTCTGAGCTCTTCGCACCTGAGCCCAGCATTTCCAGCTGGACGTGGAGGTAGGCAAACGAGCAAGCCAACCATAGGTGCATTTAGATAAAGCATGAGATTGTGCCGCACGCAAAAACCTCTCAAACGGCCACCCCAGGTTCCCAATCAACTGAAGTGTTCTGTGACCTGCAGCAAGTCTCTTCTTTTCCTTAGTGGATTCAGTACGCCTGGAAACTTGAGCGCAACATCCCAAGATTTCGAAAGAACTTTGAACCTTGGCAGGTTCAGTGGCAACCGAAGCCAACCTGGTGCGGCACAGTTGCGTAGCTCCAGTGAGCTGAGTCTTAGTTTTGCTTTCAAGAAGACCAACACTTTCACTCCAAGTTTCCCACCGTTGAATCTGGTTGACCAAAAATTGAGGGTCAGAAGAAACAATGGTTCTGTCATCCATAAAAACACGAGTAAAAACCGTTTCACGGTGGTGGTCAGTAGCGCGAACACCTGCCGCCATCCAAGCTGCCAAGGCCAGAGGACCGAAGGAACAACCTTGGGGCACACACGTGCCAGCTGCAAGAGGGGCACCATGAGTGTGCCGGTCCCAACTCACCCACCGTTGTTGGTGCTGCCACATATAAGCAATGACCTGAACCAGTCCTCGTGGCCATCCTCCGGCTTCGAGAAGGGCCGCCGTACCACATGGGATCATGAGGTCATAGCATTTGGTGAAATCCATGCTACCTGCATAGCGTTGGTGGCCCAGTTTGGCAAAAACCTGTGCAGCAGTAAAGAGACTATCTGCTCCCGTGCCAGCAACGACGGACGAGGGGAGTGTGCTCATCCAAGCTTTCACACTGGGTGAGCGCATCCACGCCGTACCCCAGAGCCTCCAGAAAGAAGTCAAAACACTAATAGGCCTGCACCCATCGAGCGGAAGGAGTCCGTCAGCAGAAACCTTACCAGGTTTTCCAAAGTTGACCATCCGAGTGTGAGCAAAAACAGATGGGGTACAGCCATGATCTTGCCACTGTAGTGCCAGCTGCCGAAATAAGGAAATGGCCGCCTCAGGCAAATGACGAAGTTCACGACCCGCAAAGCCATCCCCACCAGCTGCTCCATCAGCTGCACGGAAAACTGCAACCAGCAGCTCAAGACTTGGTGCTTCCCAGTCAATGTTTTGATGGGGAACATGGGCATGGTTTCTTAATCTTTGGGCAACGTTTTCAGGGTCAACAAATTGATTCTGATTCCAAAAATTTTCCCAGAAAGTCTTAATTTCCGAGGCAATACTTTGGGGGGTATCCAAAATACCTTGGGTTCCAACAACTCCTCTGATAGGAACGACGTCCCGAGCTCGCAACCAACGTCCCAAAGCTTTGGGGTCGTCCTTTAAAGCGTTTTGCCAATTCCTCAACGTTCGTTTACGAGCATCCTGGTGTTCTTGATAAAGCTGAGCTTTAGAAGAGGCCAACTGCTGAGCAACACGGGCCAACAACCCAGGAGCATGAAGATCACGTCCGAAGCCGAGGCGTTCAGCAAGTTTCTGAGCTTCTTGAGTTTGCAGGCTGGTGCGAGCCGATCTCGAAAGGTGGCGTCTCAGTTCATAAAGTTGGGCGACACTTCGCCTGAGTCTCCGAAGTGGCATAGACCCCTGACCTCTGGGCCCAGCACGGGGCAAAGTTCTCTGACGCCACACTGGCGCCGAACCTTTTGAGCCAGGGCTTCTCAAGGCTCTAGCCAGTTCCTGCGGAGTAGCAAGGTTGCTTTCGAAAGCCATCTGAAATGCTGCTCGGAACATTTGCTCCAAGGCCCCAGTGAATCGGTCCCAATTGTCATCGATGCTCCCAGAGGTAACATCGCAAGGACGAGAAGGCTGAGCATCATCCCAACATTGAGACAAAGTTTCACGCCACCATTGAGTAGTGGCAGCCACCGGTTTGTGCCAATCAGGTCTTGACTTGAGAAAACCTGACGAAAGGTCCTTGGTCCTAATAGGGAGAAAACACTCCAAACATTTGTGGTCGCTGAAGTGTTCCGTCATGAACCGCAACTGCTGAACCAATGAAGGTTGAGAGCATTGAGCCCAATCAAGTTCAGCTTGACCTTCCCAACGGGAAGGGCAGCCCTGCTCAAGCACGATGCCCTGAAAGCTATTCAAAGTCAGGGCGATGCTGCTGTCAGCTGGAGTTTCATTGGCATCGCCCACTGCTATCCAAGTCGTAGGCATATCCTCAGCAAGCAAAGCCTCCTGGAGCAATTCACTTGCCTGCATTTGGGCATCCTTGCTTCGGTCAGGAGGGGAGTAAAAGTTGAGGAGGAGCCAGTTTTCGACCCAAACAGTCCCAACTTGAGCATCTTCTGCAGAGGAGCTGACCGATTTACGAAATCTCAGACGTTTGTCAACCATCCAGAGAACACCACCTCTTGGCCGACCACCAACATCAGGGCTTCCAGGAGTAGCTTGCACATGGAATCCACTTTTGAGGGCATGCCGAACAAAAGCAGCTTCTTCGGTAGTAGAGAATCTAGTTTCTTGTAAGGCCACAACAAGCGGATCTTGGATGTTTTTGCAGGAGTCTAAGAAGGCCCAAGCCCCATTGGGACTTTGACAATTGAGTGACCACAGCAGAAACCCAGAGCAAGTAGATGAAGGGCCGGGGTTTTGGGCCTCCCCAACACGAGTGCCCCGGTAACCACCTAGGCGTACATCTCCAGGATCCAAGCCCATAACTTCGTTGACTTCTTCCCTGGTAGCATTCCAGGTATCCAACAAGAGCTGAATGTTGTCAGTACCATTTTCTTGCTTGACGAGACGTTGCCACAAAGCTTTTTGAGCCCATCCACGTTTTCCCGTACGGCCCACACAAGGTGTGTCCCAATCAGCATTACTTGCCCTCCAGCATTGGGTACAAGTGACCAAAGTGCCATGTCGTACTTTTTTGGAGGTGGAAGGCCATGTAGCCCAATCGGGTCGAATCACTTTCAAGTCGTGTCCTCCGATCGAAGGGTCCTCAAAGGATCTAGCCAGCTTCTCGGACACCGCCTTAGCCTTTGAAAGCTGACCAGCAAACCTTGCACGGTCTTTTTTAAACTGTTTGGCCCGACCTCCGTGGATGGTAGCCATGGTGATCTTCCGACGTTTATGAGCGTGCTCAAAATGACGTTGGCGAGCACTGGAAATAACATACCTACTGAGTCCTGTCGGCAGAGCAGCCGGACAAAAGGGGCACTGCCATCCTTGAGCGTCAGGAGGGATGTTCATACTGACATCAACGTGGTTGGCAGTGATGCGAATACCATAAATGGTACGTGGGTCAACCCCCGGGTGCCGGTCATGAAGGTGATGACTACGCAACCCACTGAGTCTCTTACCACGACCTGAAATTCTGGTGTCACAGAGAGGACAGGTCCATACTCTAGGCTCCGGGCCGGAATTCAAAAGTTGCGCCAATTGTTTGGCATTCATCGTGTTTTTATCCCGACTGTCGACCTGTTCCTGCCTCAAATCATCATCCCCAGAGACCGAAGCAGCAGAGGACTGGCAAGGGAGTTCAGCGGGGGAGGGCACGGCACAAACGCTCAAGGCGGGAACATGGGAAGAAGCCGCACGCCCCCCAAACACCACGGAAGGCGAAGTTTTGCACCTCAAACGAGAGGGACGGGGACACTGGACTGGACCAAAGGAACACGGCCCAAAACCTCCCCGCAACCAGCAGCGACGGAGGACGCCAACGACATCCCATCCCGGACCAGAGAGTGAGCAGACGGGGTACCCAGGCCATCGGAAACACCCAAATCCAACCTGGAAGAATGAGAAGACCGTGAGCCAGCACGACGCAGTTTCCTAGCGTGATTGGCAACCGAAGCAACAGACCCAGCAAACGAATGCACAGAGGGGGTCGCTCCACCAAGACGGGAGGTCGCCGAAGCAGACGACCGGACCGCAGGACTGGCACAGGCAGGAGGCGAGGCAACCGCACCGGGACCGACCAAGGAGTGAACGCTGGGTGTGCAACAGCTGGAGGCCTTAGCAGGGGAAAAATCCTGGGAGCAACCTGAATTGACAGTGTCAGACCTGCTGGGCAGGCGTTTGGGGGTTTTCACACCTCCACCGGATAGCTCAGCTGCCCAGTTGTCGCAGCCCTCTCTTAACCAAGCATCAGGAACCGCAGTTTGTCTCGGAATCCTTAGACTTTTATAATGCTTGTTTTCCAAAGTGAGGATAACAGGCTGTGCTCCACGGGCCATGCAGGCATACCCTTTTGAAAATCTGGCGGCGACGCAAAATCTTTGCCAGGAACCTCCTTCGTTTTTCTTAAAAATGACCAAGGCCGTGCCAAGTTTTTCACTGAGACTCTGCAACATCATGCCGTTAATATAATAAGTCGCATCAGAGGCTTGTTCCAACCAATCATCAAACGATTTACCACGGTAAAGATAGTCAAAAAAGGGGAGAAATTTCTCCTTGTGTTTTCTAAGGTGGGTGACAGTCTGTGCTCTCAACCACGCACCTTCTTTCTGTGCCCTTTCAACAGAAAAGGACTCATTCTCCGGTGGGCTGGAGTTCCACCAGTTGCTGTCGGCTGTGGCTCGAAAAGCACAATCTCCACAGCCTCCTAAATCAACAAGTAGATACTGATGGTCCTGGACAGCCGAGTCAGGATCAGTGGGGAACGTTGGACCCTCTGGATCCAGCTGAGTAGGAGCAACCCCCATATTGTCATCAGCGTTGGCCTCAGAGGCCGCGCGGGCGGCAGACTCCTCGGCCTGAGTGTCTCCATTTCCTGTTGTCTGTTGGTCACCTTTCTTCGGGCTCCGGGAACGGTCCCGAGAACTACTGTTGGAATGAGCTTTTCCTTTGCCTTTCTTCGGAAAAGCGTTTTCATTGCCAAGGGACTTTTCAGCCTTAGCCTTAGTTTCCTTGGTGGAAGCCAAAAAATCTTCAAGAGTGACATTCCCAAATGTTCTTTTAGGAGCCTGCACCCAGGAAGAAGTGGCCTTATTGTTTTTTGGGGGAGCAGTGAGAACATTGAGGGTCCAAGGAGTATCATCCTCAACAGAATAAATCCAACTGCCATCGTCAGACTTATCACTAGGAGGAGTGGACCGGATTCTCCAGCAAGCCTCATTGCCTTTTCTTTTCCGGGATAAAACCATCGGGTCAGCCCAACCAAGGCTCATGATCAGAGAGACAACCTCAGTGTGGTCCCAACCAAGGGGGATCCCATGAAAATCATAAACTCGTGGTCGCTGAGTGTCCTTGTCAGTGGTCTGCCAAACAAAACCAATGTCAGCCCCTCCTCCTGAGCGAAGGATCAAATGCTGTTTCCTGCTTTGACCCAGAGCCAGGCATCGCCGGTAATAAGTTTCGGGGTTTTCATCCGTTTGTTTGGTAACCCAGAAAACTTTCGGCACCGTCTCGTTGGGGTCTTTGGGAAGCTTAGAGCAAAAAATGCCCTGTTTGCCACTCATGGTAAGGAGTTTTTCCGCTGATTTATCATTCAGCCTCAAGTGACCAACCAGCTGGCGGCGGCTCCCGACTTTTTGCTGACTCCAAGAACCTCCTGTCAGCTGAGATGCCTGAAGTTCAGTTTGCGTAGCAATGTCAGCAATCACCTGAACTGGTGAGTCAGCACTTCCCAAAAAAACTTTTCGATAACTTTCCGGTGCCATAATACGCACCGTGCTCTTGGCAACGACTGGAATCTTTTCTTTGGGGACCTGCGTGGTCGTTTTGATCCACGGACATTTCTGGTGGTCCCCGAACCGTAAAAGAGAGACACTTTCAACTTGAGGTCCCAACTTTCCCCGTGTGACCGTTTTTTGCGTCTTCAACCCTTCCTCAGTGACACTGGCAGCAGGTCCAGTCAGGAGAATTGAAACAGAGCCTGGGTTGGCCAGCGCCTTCCACAGCGTCCTGAATTCATGATATTCATCATGTGTGCGAAGTTCAACCATATTGTACTCACTTTGTTGACCCTCTTTCAGAAGGTGCATGGCTTTCGAAAAATTAACAAGAGAAGGTTTGATGGACCACTCACAGTCTCTCAACCCCGTAGCAGCAGCATGACATCTAGGGCCAGACTGACCATTTGCTGTCCCTTTTCCTTTTCCATTTTTTGGACTCTTCAAAGTTGAGCCAACAATCTGCTGAGTATTGCGACCGCCCTGAAGGTGTCCTAAAACCGAGGTCGCGACTTGGACATCCGAGTACCCCTGGTTGAGGCATTGTTTCAAAACGGTGATCAACTGTCTCGCCAATGACATTTCATCACCGTTGTCTTTGTCTTCCGGTTTTGGCTCCGAAACTGTTTGGGCATTCTGGTTCTCAGAAAAGGACATCCTTCCTTTCCCTTTCGATTTCGAGGGTTTACCCTTCCCAGGAGATTTTCCGGGCGTTTGAAGGGTTTTGGGATCCCCACCAGGACTACCTTTATTACCAGAGACAGTAGTTGGACCCTGATTGTTCAGCTTTTTTTTGGCACCTTTGGTTCTTTTGGGACTGCTCTCTTCGGCTTTTTCAATCCAGTCCTGCAGAAACTCTCCCAAAGTGTCCGCCAGGGACTGACCTTGTTTTCGTTTTCGACTGGTGGTAGCACTACCACCAGCCCCTCCATCCAACAAATTAGTTTTGCAGATCCATTCAAGGTATTGCTGGGAATGCTGGTGGTCAGCGCCATTGGTCTCAGCAGAGTTCCAACATCTGTTCAAAGTTAAAATTCTTTGATTGTGGGCGCCCCTTTTTTGCAGCAACATGTGTTTGGCAAGAAGCTGATACCCTCTGAGTCTCAGCACATTCATTTGAAAGGTGCCCCCGCAGTGTCTACGGACACCGGTGACACGTCTCTGACTAACCTTTCTGGCTTCAATTGCAAATCGCTGTTTACGTTTCAAAACAGCATCACTCTGAAGTGTTGCAAAAGCAGTTGGTCGTTTGTGCTGTTCCGGTGCAACCGGACTGCAAAGCGCAATTATCCCCAAAGAAATAAACCAGCCAAGGTTAATAATGGGTTCATTAAATTCCCACGGCATATAGTGCGGACAAAGAAACCAGACCAGGGAGATCAGGACAGCGACAAGATCTCTCAAAGAAAGGGAGAAGTCCGTAGATAACCGGGGATGAGTGGACACCGAACTGACCGAGAGAAGGGAGCCCACAAGACCGAGCAGCAGGAGCCAAGACAAACCAACCAAAGGATTGGAGTGGTCCCAAGGCCAAGAGTGAGGGAAGAGCCACCACCACCCACCCAGAAGGCCAACAGCACACCATTCGCAAAGCACCGCACGAGCCGGCAGGAGACGCCACCCCCATCGCCAGAACGAACGGAGCCAAGAAAGCAAAAGACAGGGCCCCAAGAATCCCAACGCAAAGAACCAAGGGGACAAGCCGCACCACGCTGACCGCAAAAGAAAGAAACCCAGAAGGCCAGGACAAAGGCCAAAGGAGACAGCGAGGACATGACCAAAGGTGGTGGGCCAAACAATAGTACGGGGGTTGGAGAGCATATCGAGAAATACACCGTTCAAACCCAGTGAGCCAAGCCACACAAGCTGCAAACAGGTGTCATGTGTGGTCCAAGGCAATTGCAATTTGGCAAATGCAGCCCAAGTTTGAAAAACAACGTGCTCCAGACAGAACCTAAAGTCCTGAAGTTGCACTTCGATCAGTGACAACGAATCTGCAGCTAAATCACAAAAGGTAGCGAGCTCGGCGGCCGCGGCAGCCATCAGCAGCCTCAAAGACTCGGCAGCCAATGCCGCAAGCTCAGCTACCGCAGTAACAGTCAGCAGCCTCCGAGATTCTGTAGCAAAAACCGCGAGCTCTGCCCTCACGGCTGCGGTCAGCAGCTTCGAAGACTCAGCAGAAAGTTCCGCAAATTCAGCAGCCGCCAGAATCAGAGTAAAGCCATCAAAGCTCTGTGAATTCTGTAAAGCTGCATCACTGCGTTCATCAGCAGCAGGCCATGGCAACAGCTCAGTACCGTTTCCCATGGGAGCTCCAAATAGGAGACTGTGTCGCGTCTGGACAAGCGAAGATTGACCGATGACCGAGTCGAAAGAACCGAAAACAGGGGCATCGGCAGTAGCAGAAACCGGGGACAGCAACAGCGCAGCGATCAGCCA